TCCACTTCCAACTGCCAGCATCCCATACAGGTGCATCCCAGCTGCTCCACTTCCTACCCAGCTCCCTGCTTATAGCCTGGGAAAACAGCGGAGAATGGCCCAAGCCTTTGGAACCCTGCACCCACATAGCAGACTTGGAAAAAGCTCCTGACTTTGGATTGGTTCCGTTCTAGCCACTGTGGTCATTTGGCGAGTAAATCAGCAGATGGAAGATTTTTTTTCTGTCTCTCCTTTCCTCTGTAAATCTGCCTTTCCAATGAAAATAAAACTTAAAAATTCACAAAACCACACCAACAGCACTCACTCTTGGCTCAGAAAATGGAGAAAGGTGCCACCAGCCAAGCAGTGCAGGCAACCCCCAGACAGAAGCTAGACTCTCCCCCATCACTTCCAGAAGAATCCCTTCCTCGTGGGAATACCCCTTGGGCTTCTGATGTGCAGAACTATATGGTAATAGTCTCTGTGTTTAGTAAAGCATTAAATTGCTGGCAATGAGCGTTCATTCCATAGCGATGTCTGTTCTATTTCTGCTAAGGCTTTTAACAAGTGACAGCCCTAAATGCTACCGAAGGAGAGAGAGTTGACCTCAGTCCCTAAGGCTGACCACCACCGGGGAAGTGAACTTCACCCATGTCATACTCCAGGTAATCACACACACTGCGTAACTACAGCCCAGAACGCATGACCTAGAAATGCAACCAACACACACAGGCCCTGCTACAGGTATTTGCACAACTTGACTCTTCCAAAGTAGTGAGAAACTTGTCACAAGATAAAAATGAAGATTGTGGTTGGATATTGAATTTTTGCTTAGGAGATGACAGCAATGTCTATTCCAGATTTGTATGGCATCTACTAAAGTCTTTGTGGAGGGAACTGTACTTCCCACAACTGATAAATTTAACAGGACTCTTGTGCTTTTTGCGTGGTTAAAAAGAGGGCCAAGACAGAATAGAAATTAGACCCAATTTATCCAATGACTGCAGAAAGCTCTTATGAATGTGAAAACAAATTACACTGAACAGTTTTTAGACAGTGTGTGTTTATTGTGCACATCCCTTCCTTCCATGACCCTCTTTCTGCTTACATTGTTAGCCTGAATAATCACTCCGAAAATGGCAGGATAAATTGTTTACATCCCAGTAAGATAATTCCACATAATTAAGGACTCATCTTCCACATGACAAATGAGAATGGTTCTCAGAAACACTTAGATAACGTGCAAATATTCTAGTGCCCTCCTCTCCCCCAGTAGGGGCTCCCAGTAACAAGAGCAAAGCTGAAGGACTGTAGAAAGATGGGATCAACACACTGCTGGTTGTACCAACTGTTCCAGGGTGCAGGAGCGGCTTGTCCTGAACGACAGAGAAAGGCTAGGTCTGTAACAAAGTTTCCATTCTGCACACAATGGGGAAGGCCACAGAATGTTTCAGAACCAGCATGGGACCTCGGGAAAGGACAGCTGGAAGGGAGAGAGCTAGAAGAGCCTGCTTCGTTTACTGGAGGCAGAAGGGCTTGACCATGCACGTGAGAAGGATGTGCAGATGTCATGGGCACATGAGTGCATTCCAACCACACTCTGATTTCTCCTACAAGGCAGAGCAGTGCCAGAGGCACACAACTCCTGCTGAAACTCCAGGCCCATCATTCAAGGAAATGGGCCCTGCGACATCTCAGATCCTGAGCCAACTCAAGGAAACAGCGACAGCAATGCAACATCAAAAGTCCCGCAAGGCCACCATTTCTCAACCTAGGAAGACAAAGGGCATGCTCAAAGGGAGAGCAAAGATGAATGATGCACCCCGAATAGCCAGTGGTGATAGTAACGGAAGAACAGCCAACACAACAGACCCAATCCCTCGTCCCTTTTCACCCACACCCATAATATTTAAACCACACTAAAGCATGAGTTTAAGGTATGGAGTTCTGGTTGCTTCTCTCTTGGGAGGGATTTGTTTGCTTGAATAGCAGAGGGCAACATGAAGGAAAACCTAGCGTGCTAGAACAAGGGTACACAAAGCTTAAAGCTTTGGGGTGAAAGATTTCAGACACCACGAACCCATGAAACTTATAATTTCGCATAATCTGACTTCTCATACCTTTGAAATGCAACAAAATGATATCTAACAAGCACTACTGGAACACCGCCCTCTTGCTTAAAAACAAGAATGCTAAACTATAATATCCTCAAAGGTGCCGCAACTGAAGAAAAGGTATTCTCTCCCCACCTAGGCAGCAAAATCGTCCAGATAAAATTAAAACTTGGTACTATTCGTTCTGTTACAGTAATGAATTTAAGATTATTATTCTAACCCTAAAACCTGGGAATTACACCCAAAGGAGTTAAACAACCCAAAACCTAGCCTCATTTCCTTCAAACGGGTGATCACGGTGGGTATTCTTGCTTTGACGTGCAATTCATTGCTCCCACTTAGCAAAGAAAAAAAAAAACGATTGCTGACTAAAATCCGGTAGATTAGACAAATCTAATCTTTGGTACCGAATCTTTACCAGGTAACAAGACCCACACCTTAATTGTTCAGTCCAGGTGTCTAACAAGCAACTTGTTCCTTAAGAAAAAAGAAATAGAATAAGCTATTCACTGTGTTGTGTTGTCTGAAAGCTACTTAGAACATTTAAAAAAAAAAATCAATCGAGGAGAAAAACAGAAGAACGGAAGCAGGCACCTGATGTCCATGGAAGTGTGTGGCTTATAGTTACCTAGAAACAACCCAACACATCTCGTGGATTCAGCTGTCACGTTTCAGACAGATGATTCCACGTGCGTTAAACAGCTCCCCCACCCCTAAGGAAAGAAGAATCAATGGCAACAATTTGCAACTGAAGTCAAAGTGTGTGTGTGTGTGTGTGTGTGTGTGTGTGTGTGTGTGATGGGATCACAGCCCTGGGAGAAGCCAGGCATGTAACTGAGCCAGGCCTGTGTTCGTGGGTGCTGGGGTGCTGACACCCTTGGGCGAGGGGGCAGGGTGCGCCACCAAGATCCGAATCGAACCAGATTTCACAGAAAGAAGGCACGTGAGGGAAAAAATCAAAAAGCCAAAGCTAAACGGGGCACCTGAAGTCTCTAAAAGGCATTTTCTGAAGATGAAATTGAAAAAAAAAAAAATCAGCTGAAACCATCCTAACGTGTACTGATAGGAAGAAATAAGAATTCCGGAAACTGGGGCTATAGAGGTTCAACTTCTGATTCCATTCAACTCGATCCAATTGTTGGCCTAGAACCCTGCTCGAGGTTAAATTTTTGTCCCCAGGGGGAGGTCCAGCAGCGTCCGGAGGAAGTGGCGTGGTTCGTGGGGGATTGAACACGGATCGGGTACACGCCAAAGACGGCTGCTAAGGGTTACAACGTGTACAACAAAGAGCCAACCTGCCTTACAAGCTCTGGGCCGCCAGGTACTCATCCCTGCCACTGTAAGCCAACACGTCCACCCACACTTTCACCCAACTCTGCCTGCTCTCACACCAGCATTAAACACGGCATCTCACGACAGCATGAAACACTACCATCGGAGGGACTTCTTTCTCCGTGTTATCAAACATGGTGGATCGCCGGCTCGAGGCAGCAGCCACAGGGCTGGCACAGACAAGCAAGCACTCCACAGCAGGAGGGCGGTAATCGCAGTCAGACAACTTTTTAATCCTTTTATCTCATCTTGTCTCAGACACCAGGCTCCCTTCACCTGTGGGGCATCTGCCTGGCTTAGGTATCCAGCCGTGCCGCTGTCACCCTCGTGATACTTTAAATAAAAATGCACTGACTCCATCCCAAAGACGGTATTTCTCATTAGTGAAAAACTTCGGTGACAGCATTAGCCAAGAAGACAGCTTTCTGCTGGAGGTGGGGAGGTAAAGTCTCCCCAAGTGTTTAAAATGCAAAGTTATTTTATAGTTTGCTTGCAAAATGATTCAGATCGATTTTACTTTTAGTCGTGCCAAGTTTGCTTCTTTGGAGCCTACCAACAATGGAGAGACGGGGGGGGGTGGGGGACAACAAAAAGAAAACACCATTTCCCCTGCCATCGTTAAGCACAGGCACATATTAAACCCTGCAAAACCAAGCCGGAGGCCGGACTCGCCAGAAAAAAATCTTTCCACCAACTAAATGCCTACAGAGATGGGGAAGGAAAGACAGCAAACAAAAGAAAATAGCCCTAATTATTAGATGCAAAAAAAACGGGGGTAAAAAAATCACGCACTGTCCATACTCCCCTCGTGGGAAACCCTGCCGGAGTCTTTGAATTGGCTTCTCCTGTCCACAATTGTGGGTGAAGACCTGGGTGCAGCGCAGAGCCGCGAGAACCCAGCACTCCAAACGCAGGCACCCACACCCGGCCTGCGCCTGGCGGGTCGTGTTCCTTCCTGGGAAACAGAGGAGGCAGAGCGGAGGGAGAGGCCCCGTCCACTCGCGACATCCGTTTCTCCCACTATGAAGGCACTGAACATCTAACTTTGGGGTTTCCATTCCCCCCCGCTCCCCCGGCACGGGTCTCGAACCCCAGGCTCCTTATGCAGGGTACAACAAAAAGCCATCCAATGCTCCCTTCCACTCGCAGGAAGTTCCACAGCCCGGCCCCGCTGAGCGCCCCCCAAAAGGCTCCCTGGCTGCACCAGACCCGCCCTTGGAGAGTTGGGGGGCGCGCGCGGCATCCGGGGTGGGCGGGAGCGAGGGGAGCGCCGAGGGCGAGGATGGAGAGAGGGGAGAGGAAGGCTTTGGATTCTCTGGTCACGAAAGCTCCCTCTTTTCCCCAGCCAGGCTGAAGAAAAACTTCAAAAGAAAAGGGCGGACGCGCGATCCGCCCGCCACGCCTCGGCCGAGCCTCACCTCCCCGCCCGGCCCAAGCCACCTCCACCAAGCCCGGGCAGCTTCCCGATCGCGCTCGCCGGCGTCGGGGCGAGCTCGGGCGCAGCGGCCCGCGGGGCGCCCCTGGAGCCGAGGTCCCCCCGCACGCGCGCGGCAGCAACCCCTCCACCTTGCTCACCCAGCAGCAGCAGCTTGACCTCACGCGCCGCCTTCTCGCCATCCTCGCGCAGGTTGCGGTCTATCATCTTGCTCCTCTCCACCGCCGCCTTGTCCTCGGCGCTCAGCGTGCAGCCCATGGTGCAGACAGCCCACAGCTCCCGCTCGCCTCCACGCTCCCTTCCACGCCCGCCTCTGGTTTGCGCAAAGCCCTGGCTCCTGGAGGCGGGGGTGTGGGGGGGCGGGGGAGCCGGGTAGGGAAGTTGGGGGGCCGCGCGCCCCGACTTGGACCACACCACCACCTCCTCTTGTAGTGCCCCTTGCACCCGGGTTGCAATCACCCCCTGGCTCCACGCCCCACAGTCGCCGACTCCCCGAGCTGCTGCTGCTGCTGCTGCTCCTGCTCGCTTCTCCAGGCGCTCGCTGACCGCGCCGCAGCCGAGCTCGGCGTCCGCGCGCCGCCGCCGCCGCCCCGCCCCTGCCCGCCCCTGCCCGCCACCGGGCGACCACTCCCAGATCGCGCGCCCGCGCACGTGCCCTGGGCCAGCGCCCCCTCGGCTAGGGCGCGCGCGCGCGCGCGCTCGGGCCCGGGAGCGCGGAGCTGTCCCGCGCGCGCTCGTCCGGCCGGTCCCCCCCTCCCGCGCTCTGCCGGTGGAGCCGCGCTGTTTTTCTCGGCCTGGACGCGCGCTGTGAAGGCTGGATAGTCGCCGTCCCTGCTGCTCCGGGCGGAGGAGCCTCCAGAGCTCCTCCACAGCCCAAGTTAGAAGCCAATCACTGCAGGTTCCGAGCGATTGAGCATGCCCAACGCTTGGCTGTCTTAGAGGGCAAGGGCTTTGCAAATGCAAACGGCTAACAGGCAGACTCGCTGGGCTCCGGGTACCAAGGTTTTGGCGCCCAAAAAGGCAGGCCGCAGAAGAGGGGTGGGGGAGTGGTGGGAGGAAGGCCGCCAAGGTAAAGATCCTCCCTCCCCTCCGTTCTCACTCTTCTTGTCACAATGCGCCTTTGGAAGGATGTGTCTCCAAGCCCCAGGAAATGTGCGCCGAACAAACCAGAGTGTAAAACTGACAGGATCGATACAACACACCCGCCCAAAGACATGGGATCCATGCCATGATTGATCTCGCTTGTTAACCGTAGTAAGCTTGCAGACCGGGCTGTGAATCTGCGTTTATGCTGTGGGGCGTCTCACTGCTTTTTACAGGCCCTGTCTTTGCACATAAAAGAAGTAGTTGGTTTAGACTATAGGTTCATCCTTAGGGCTCTGACTGGTCCGCAGGAGATGAGCTCTCAGAATCTCCTGGCCGTCCCACCTGTAGGAGGACATTGTGAGCCTGGAAGGTCAGCAAGCACAGGATTGCAGTTCATTGAGCAGTATTTGCATGAAAACAACCAAATGGCTACCTCTTGCATACCTGTTGGGAGATAGTTCCTACGGGTCCAGTTGATGGTTTTGTTTATGAGCTCGCTACTTCCTCCCCTACCCCATACGGACTTTCAGTGTATAAAGTCTGATGCCCCTAATCAACTTCGGCTTTTGACCATCAGTCAGAGTCCACGCGTGTTATTATCGGCTCCGTGCACCAAGTCCGTCGCTGCGGGACAGCGACACCCACCCAGCATCCACAGGGGAGATCCGAGGTCTGGTCGTCCTTGTCAGTTGTTCTGGCCTGTATGTTACTAACAGCACTGGGCAGCACATGTTATCTGATTAGAACCTCAGAATCTGAGGCAGGCAACGTGGCACGGGGGGTAATGCTACCAGGGACATGGGCATCCACATTGGCACCTGTTCCTGTCCTGGCAGCTCCTCTTCCAGTCCAACTCCCTGCTAATGTACCTGGGAACGTTTGCAAAGATGGCCCACGCGCTTGCGTCCATGCCTCGCACGTGAGAGACCCGGATGAACCTCCTGACTCCTGGCTTCAGCCTGGCGCAGTACTGGCCATTGTAAATCTGTTGGGGGAGTGAACTAGCCAGATAGAAGATCTCTATCTATTACCACCTCCTCTCTGTAACTCTAACTTCAAAAATAATTTTTTTAAAAGATTCATCCATTTTTATTGGAAAGTCAAGCCAACAGAAAAAAAAAATCTTGCATCTGCTGGTTCACTCCCCAAGTGTCCACAATGGCCAGAGCTGAGCCAATCCGAAGCCAGAAGCCAGAACCTTCTCCCAGATAGCCTACTCTGCCTTAGGCTGTCCTCCACTGCCCTCCCAGACCACGAGCAGGGCGCTGGAAGGGAAGTGGAGCAGCTGGGACACAAACCTGCACCCACAAGGGATCCTGGCTAATGCAAGGCCACGACTTTAGCCACCAGGCTACTGTGCAGGGCCCCCAAAATAAATATTTTAAACAACAAAAATGGAACTTGTAGCAAACAATAAACTTAAGGAATTGGTTTTCACGTTTCCACATGGAAGCATCGGTACCCAAAAACTGTTTGGGAAGGCATCGAGGAAGGTGAGCCTGAGCTGGTGGTCCAAGTAGAACAGATTTAGATGGGACCACTTAGCCAGAACCTGTGAGTTGCAGAGGTGTGTCAATCCAATGTTTGTGGCATGCCCCCCTTCCTTCTATCCTGGGGAAATCCAACTACTGGACTCAGCAGATGCCATGTCTACACCTGCCTCAACTGCCCCTCCGGGCATTGATGATTTAAAAAAAAAAGAAAAAGAAAAAAAAAAAAGAACCACTACTATTTGTAATTCTTGGTGTTCCAAATCTTCATGTTCACCAGGAATTCTGGATTTCAACATAAAGAAGTCAACACAGGATTTGTGTGAGAGCAACTTTGCATTATCTGTGTATGTGAATCGACTCTATATGAGCTTGCTTCAAGCCATCTAGGACCAACAGTTTCAGCCCCCGAAAGGAAGAATTCATTGTGATTATTGGTGGAAGCAACTGGAAAACTTGTGTTGGGGAGAAATTAAATGTTTAGTAGGATTACACTCTTTCACCTCTTTCATTCCCAATGCTTGCCAAACATGCAAGGAGTTACAATATATAGAATAATAACAAGTGAGAATTAGCTTTCTATGGAGCAAAATTTTTGCCATATGATGGGAGAAACAGTGGAGCATCCAGTGACCAGTTGGTATAGGGCAGAGTCTCAAGAGAAAATTTTTTTCTCCCTTCCATATGAATTTTGATTTTATGACATAATTCAATAGGCTCTGGGGTTTCCCTTACCCCCACCCCAAATTCCCTCCACCAAAATGATTCCCCTCATGTTTTTGCAATAGTATAGTCCTTCATAAGCAGTCTTAAGTCCACCATTCTGCTATTTAAACGCATCCACATTGCACTGTGGATACAGACAATGGCAGACAGTCCAGCATCCTATTGTCGAGACAGATCCAACAGTTTCATTGGGAATCCATCTTTGACTTGGAAGTAGAAATGCATACTTCATTGTATTTTCACATCTGGATATGATAGTCTTATATGAAGAGAAAAGTTTTAAGAAAAAAATCTTTGGAGGGAAATGATGGTAAGATATTGGTAGGAAGTTGCTATGGGTATGTATGGGTATGGTTGTCTTAACAAAGTATTATAGACTGGGTGGCTAAATAACAGAAATGTAGTTCTCACCTTTCTAGAAGCCACAGGTGTCAGCTGGTAGGTTTCCTGGGTGAGGCTCCCCTCCTACTCTTCCTGGGCCAGTAGCTGGCAACCTTCTTACTGCAGCTTCACATGCAACCCATGCTGCACCTTCACGTGTGGGCTATTCTTCTTCCTGCAAGGTAGTAAATCCCATGATACAGGGTTCCCTATAATTTCAGTCTTCCCAGTAATATAGGCATCCTAAGAATAGCTAGTTAACAACCAGATACAACTTTAGAGCTAAATCATTAAAAGCATGTAAACTAAAATTTAAACCTTCACAATTCCATGGAAGCACACACCATTTTGACACAGTAAAATTTTACTCCATGTTGCATTTGGCAATAATCTTAATATAATTCAATAGTCTGGTCAACTGTCTCCACAAAATGGGAGATACATCCGTTGGCATTCTTGAGGCCTCGTAAGAATACCAAGGGAAGCCCTAGGATTTGAAACCTTTGAATACTTAAATGCTTTTTTAAAGGTAGCTGAAAATATCTGAAAGAAGATTTGTTGTCAAAGTTAGCATGACACATTATACATTACAATTGGTTATTGATGTGAGAATGTCGTTCAAATATCTTTAAAACAAATACAAAACCTAGTATCGGCCCGTTGCGCTCACTTGGGGAGTGAATCATCGGAAGGAAGATCTTCCTCTCTGTCTCTCCTCTCTGTATATCCGCCTTTCCAATGAAAAAATAATAAAAATAAATCTTAAAAAAAGAAAAGATTTACAAAAGCCCAGTCTTTTCTTTGAATTCCAAGTTCCCAAAAGTTGCAATGGATATGCAGATGAAATCAGTTAGCTAAACATTTATCACAACAAAAGACCTTGAAATTGGTCAATATTGTGAAATCTAGCAGTTAAACTGAGGCCTGTATCCCAGTTTTCTTGTGTCCCAGTGTCCTCAGCATTATAAAACATTCCAAAAGACATGCAGTTACAACCTGGGTACATTAACACAAAAACAGCAAACTTTCACCTTACAATGATATAATGCCGTCACCAAGAACATCACTTTGTGAATTGTAAACAATAAGAACTTAATGAGACAGAGAACATAACTTAATATAAAAACTTGTACTTAAAAATTAGCATACATGATTAAGCAATGCTGTATAGAAAAAGTGCTATATGAATAACATGCATTCACCACAATTGATTGGAATTTCAGCCTCCAGGATTTACTTGCTGGCTGTTTTAAGTCTGAAGCTTCTCTGCAGGCACAAATTGAATAGGATGTTCCTGTTTTGTAAACACCTGAATGTTTGGGACCTGGGGCTGGCTTCTCCAGGAGCCTTCTGGCCACAGGTGTCTGCCACCACGATCAAATTCAGATTTACATTCTTTTTTCCAGTGCCGGCCTCTTTGGCACTTAGGACATATTCCTGGGGAGTGACTTTTAGAAGTATCAGCGTGGTATCTTTGAGTTGTAGGAAGCAATTTTTTCTCACGTGTCCTCGCTTGCCACAGTTAAAACATTTAGCATTCATTTGCTTTTGAATGGCAAAAGTTTCAAATGCTGCTAGGCGGGCACGGTGTTTAAATGTGCCTATGTAGCGACAGGCATTGACCAAAAGATCTTCCTTTTCTTTTATAGGACGAATAACAGCCTGGCAATCCTCGTTTGCATTCTCAAAAGCCAGTTGCTTTAATAACAATCTCCTAGTGCCTTCTCCTCTAACTTGTTTTTCTATGGAGTCTGTCAAACGCCTTACAAAATCGGCACAAGATTCTCTGGCTCCTTGAAAGACTTTTGTATA